TTTTAATGAAATTATGCACATGACCTGTAGGTTTCTTAAGGTTTTTTCTAATGACATAAATAAGTGAATGATCCGAGATTGAAGTATTTATTACTCCAGATATGCCATAWATGGAGGATCGATTTGTGAAAATAAGATCCAAAATGGAATGTATGTTATTTTTCTTTTTTTGTTTCCCTCTAAAAGCGATATTTCTTCCTTTATAATTCTGAATACTGCTATTTTTTTCCTTTTATTAATTAAAATTGTGAAAGGAACCAAGCAGCTTTGTAGAGGAGGACATGACAACAGATATAGCCCACATGTTGGGTCGGATGGATCCATGGTACGAGCGCAACGTCCTCAGTCTACTCAGCCTGTCCTCAGACGTCCTCTGTGAGGTACTTTTCACACTTGTTGCATCAACGTTTTGCAATTGCTGGGTTGCAGATGACGTAGTATCGATGTCATGAAATGCAGCTGGTGGGGCAGGAAGTAAATGAAGCCATTTTTCCTTCTGCTGATTCAGTGTCAAGAAGCCTAAATTCTGTGCTGTGTACAGTTGTTGCAGCTGCTCTAATCAGGAGAAATATCAACGTTTTTTTCATGTTCCAAAAGTGTGTCACAAGGGAGTTTAATTTTAAAAACTTGCAGAAAAAATAGGACAAATGTGGATCAATCATCTACGGCTAAAAACAAGAGGTTTAGAAACGAGCAATGCAACATTTTGCAGTGACCACTTTCTAACAGGTCAGGATTGTATCATTTTAAATCATATTATCAGATATTTTCCCAGATAGTTACTTGAATTTGCATTTACAGAAACTAAATAAATTATTTGCAAGTAGATCCAAGCACATAGAAATAACAGGAGTTATCTTGTTAGCATTAGCGATATCTAAAAGAGCACAACTCACCCAGTCACAAACAAGTCAACAGTCATTAGAAGCTTCTTTGGATCCTAAATATTTGACCCAACCTGAAACAAAATAATTGTAGCTTCGAGGCTTTTCAAAGCTTTCATCTGGCTCATCATATACGGTACATCTGCAGCGCCAGGTAGTAGTTTATGTTGATCGCCTCAACAAAGGGGTAAATCCTCCAGATTATATAACAAGTCATTTTTTTATTAAGATAATATGAATCATATCCTAAAATGTACGCATATTTTTTTTGCAATATCTTGTCTGCGCCAGCCCATTTATGGCATTAGCATACTCGCTGTGATCCATTTCGCTGTGTTTTGAACCAGGGCAAATCACTTCCTGTCCCCCATCTGACATTCACGCATCATCCGGGTCATGTGACTGCAACCCAGCAATATGCAAGGGGAGCTGAGATAAAATGTTATTTGGTTACATTGCTTAGTTTAAGAGGTTTAAACTAATGTTTTTTGTTTAGATTGAGCATGTTTTAGCTTTTTTTTTTTTTTTTTGTATTTTTGAGCAAATAATGCCCTCAACATCATCTGTCTCCTCCTAACTTCACCATGCCCCAGGCTCCATCCAAGGATGAGGAGGTCACTGCGGGCTCTTGCAGCACGGAGCACCTTCCCCTGCTGGCCGACTTGGTGCTGTATTACTGCAGACAGGCGGACAAGCCCGTCCTGGTGCAGCTCTACCAGGCCGAGGTCAGAGGATCACACACAGGACACGTGAGCTTTAATCGGTGCTCAGAATAAAATCTCATGGTTCTTTCTTACAGCTGACTCTGGTGGGGGGAGAAAAGAGAAGGGAGGTGTTTATTCATACCTTGGAGCTGGGACACACGGCTGGAACCAGAGCTGTTAGGGCTATGGGTTAGTCCGCCTCTGCTAAACATGTGCAGATGAACACAGCAGCACACACACGTAGACTAATTTGTGATGGATTGTGTCTGAAGGGGCTGCTGGCAAAAGGTTTGGGATTGATAAAGAAAGGGAGGCCGTGCCTTTGACACTGAGCGTTGCCTACAACAAGGTATCCTTCTTTCACACAGATTTCCTGCATTACAGACAGTTTGACATTTTTCAATTTGAAAAGACTGAAATGAGCTCATGTTTCGCATGTTTACACAATCACAGGTGGCAGTGAGTGGGAGGAGTCAGTGGATTCAGACAGAGACAGTGTGCACCTCCATTAATCTTCACAAAACATGCAGAAGAGCTGAGGACTTTGGTCAGTAAAGTCACTGTTATCTTAGCTGATGAATTGGAGACACATAAACAACATATTGTTTCTAAAATCACAAAGTGGGTACTTATGACATGTTTAACATAACATTGCAAACGTGTTGAGATGCTAACCTCAGAGCTCTGAACGCAGCACAATGGTGCAACAAATCTTTCATGTATTAGAGGCAGCTRCTTGTGTTTTTAAGCCAACTAACAAGGTCTTATACTGAATCCTGAAAATAACAATGATCCTGTGCAGAATGACCAACACTGGGTGAGACGTGGTTCTGCTGACTTTTACCAGTCAACAAGTAAGCTGCCACATTTAGGGTAATTTGCAGACAATGTAGAGATGACTGATGTCTTCCATAATGTAAGGCAATACAACGAGATGTTAGAAAAGCATAAATGACTCATTCAAACCACCATTATGGAAGACAAGGACAACATTTCTAAGAAGAACCCTCAGATATTTTAACCACAGAACATATCTGTTTATCAAACCTAAAAAAGTGGTCTTGAACCAGTTTTAGGGGTGACGATCAATGGCTAGAGGACCAGGAACACTATCAGCTCCATTAAGAAGATTATTTTACCAAAAATAATAATCTCTGTCTCAAGTCCCTGTCCCTGTCTCAAGTGGAGGAGTTTAAGTATCTGGGGATCTTGTTCACGAATGGGGGAAGAACGGAGCGGGAGATCGACAGGCGGATTGGCGCAGCGTCTGCTGTAAAG